TTCTTCAAATGAGTCTTCGTAATTTCAGCTAATATTTCAGCTAATAATACAATATATATATATTTTTTTGTAAGATAATAAAAAATGAGCGTCTCACAAAATGGGCTCCAAAATTGATATAGTAAGCAGTAATGCAACATGTTCCTATTCTTTTCCTTTTACAGGAATTATCTGTATAAATAATATCTGTATAAATCTGTATAATAAGTTAAACTAATAGAAATTCATAATCGATTCTTATTGCAAGATTACTTTAAGCAATATTTTAAGATGCTGTGTTAATATGACTCTGTTATTGATTTACGACATCTTAAGATTATTTAAGACTGTCTTAAATATAAGAACCGACTATGAATCAGCCTTAAATCGTTATATATAACATAAATAAACATATCTATTTCTACTTATTATCTCTTAACGTTCCTTTTGTTTACAATATACGCTTTCGATATTAACATTCGTTCGAGAGCAGTGAGATTCTCTAAAGTCATACCAACGATTATCGTTAACAACAACCAGTGAAAGCCGCGCTTGTTTTCAGGATTGTCCTTGCCAATAGTCAGTTATCAATAGTCAGTCGTTGTAGCAGGACGTTGGAGACTTCTGCTACAAGTGCTACAGAGAAAGATAAAGTGTTTTAGAATGCTAATTAAAATTGTGCCAAGTCTACTGGAAAGAACGTTAAGAACGATTCTACTCCGATCGGATTGTATCTTAATTTTCTGCCCGTCGCGACATCGCTACAATATCAGAAACAGCGTACGACCAAAGACAATGAGCGTTATTGAGTTGAATATCTGGAAATCCCGTTAAATCGGAAAATGACAAGAAAGAATATAAGACCAGTGTTGTGCAGTATTTAGGTACAAGTAAATAGATACTATAATTACAAATTTATACCTATAGAAATTTAATTGTACCGAGGTACTTTTTTTTAGTATCTATATCTATATTTATTGTTAGATATCATTTTTTATATGTTGATTCTTACATTTAGATATATTTTAATTGCTGATTGTACTAACTCACCGATCTAAAAGGTTGCAACAGATTTTTTTAAAATGATTTTCGGAGAGGTAGAACACCAAGTTAATTATTGTATTTGTATAGTAACACCTAAAAGTATATAAATATATTTATAATTATATACTTAGATATAATTATTTAAACAATTTTTATCACATCATTTTATTGAATACTCTCAGAAATGCAACAGCTGTATTACACCATAACCATTGTATTTCTGTTGAGAGTATAAAATAACATGATAAAAAAATAG